TCTCTCTCTCTCTCTCTCTCTCTCTCTCTCTCTCTCTCTCTCTCTCTCTCTCTCTCTCTCGGTATTTGGCAGCTGAATGCAAGGCCTCACATATGTTAAAAGGACTTACTGTACCACTGAGCCATCCCCACACCTCACCTAGAATCTATACTCTTAATCACTATATTATACTACTCTTCCAACTGGAGAATCTTGATATTATTATAATGAAAATGTTTATGGTTTGATATTTATTTTATCCAAACAGGAAACATTTGGATTTCTAGTATATGAGAATTATTTTTAAACTCCTTCAGAATCTCCCCTGTTCTAATGTTAATTTTCTGTAATATTCTTTTGAGGTTTGGATTGATTCTATAATTTTCTAGTAATTATCTCTCTCTCTCAGCATGTTCTTGATTGGGTATTGGCAAATTAGGGTAGGCCAAGCTAAAATTCAGCCTACCCCATTTTTTTTTTTAAGAGAGAGAGAGAGAGAGAATTTTTAATATTTATTTTTTAGGTTTTTTTTGGCGTACACTACATCTTTGTTTGTTTGTGGTGCTGAGGATTGAACCCGGGCCGCACGCATGCCAGGCGAGTGCGCTACCGCTTGAGCCACATCCCCAGCCCCGCACTTATCCCATTTTTGTAAATAAAGTTTTACTAAAATATAGCTATGTCCATTCATTCACTTATTTTCTGAGGTTTCTTTCACATTACAACAGCAGAATTGCATTCTTATGGTAGGAGATGCAAACCTCCAGAGCAAAACTATTTACTGTCTGGTCCTTTACAAGAAAAATGTACTGATCCCTCTTCTTGATTATTAAGCTTTGCAAAGTACTCCTTAATCCTAAAATACAGAATTTCAGACATTAGATCCTTAGCTCTGAAATTCTGTTATTCCATTCTGTTGAATTTAATTTTAATACCAGACATTGTAGGATAAGAATAAATCTTTCTAGTCTTAGCTTTTAGTAAAAATTCCTCGGCTTAAACTGTTATTTTGAAGATAAAAGCAGAATATCTATAACCCCAAGATATTAGGTCTCAAAAAAGCCTTGACCTGAAGATAGTGCTGCGTCCATATGTTTGTATTACAACCTGAGATTGATGTTGATTGTTACTTTTTTAAGGCTTTGCCTGCATTGATTGAACAAGGAGATGGATTTTCCCAAGTTTTGAAGATGCAACCTATCATTCAGCTCCAGAGGATCCACCAAGAAATCTTTTCCAGTTGTAGAAAACCAGATGCTAAACCCGAGAGCTTTATAACACAAATAGAAACCACACCAATGGAGACTGCTCCCAGGAAAACCTCTGATATGGTACTGAAAAGAAAGCGAACTAAAGACTGCCCCCAGAGAAAATGGTATCCACTGCGGCCAAAGAGAATTAATCTGGATTCATAAGCTCTTTTGTTTGAGACTATAGGTGCTGTCAGTGTTTAGATTACCATCTACTACTTAGACAGGACTTTATTTAACCAACAAATAATTCTTACTAGTGAGTCATTGATACAAACATAGTAAGTCTGTGCTGGGATATGATATAATATTGTGTTTCTTATCATTTCATTTCATGTATACTAGGTGAAAAGTGTTTTTAGGTTGGGTTTTATTTTTGTTGGTGGTGGTTTTTGGGGGGCTTTGTTTTGTTTTGTTTGAAGTTGGCACAAATCACATCAGTGGACATTAAGAGTGCAGATTTTTTACTTTCCTTAAATGCCATCAACTCTTGGCTGCCTTGCTGCTTTTGAGGAATTGTATAAGTAATGTATTCTATTGATTTCCTTGATGTATATCTTTCCTTAAAACAAGAGAGGGAGGCTGTGTGATGATTCATTCAGTGCTGAAAACAAATCAGTTCTATACAGGAGCAGATGCATTTTTTTATATGTAGGATTTTATTTGTTTGGGGTGCTGGGGTTGGGACCCAAGGCCTTGTGCATGCCACACCTGTGCTCTACCTCTCAGCTAGAGTTGCATATCAACTTAATGTGCAAATGACAATACTGGCTTTGAATTTGTTATTCTGAAATCAGTTAATTTGTATTTGTGGGATTAATTTTAGGCTTTTTTTGGGTTTGCTTCAAAAGACAAAGATGGCTGTTATTTGTGCAAGAATTATTATTCAGAATGAACATTGGCAAGTAGCCAGTGTTTCTGGCCTATAATTTTATTTTTCATGAATATTTAACATAATTTGACTTGGAAACTAATAATTTTTTTCTTAGGATTCCTCATTTCTTTCTTTTTCTTTAGTGTTTTTTTTTTTTGGTTGTAGTTGGACACAGTATCTTTATTTTTATGTGGTGCTGAGGATCGAACCCAGTGCCTCACACGTGTGAGGCGGGCACTCTACCACTGAGCTACAGCCCCAGCCCTCATTTATTTCATTATACATAAATTCTTTCAGCTCAAAGTATATATCAGATTAACTGGCAAATTTTCATTATACAACAAATGCAATAATACTGAACTATTTTACATTTAAGGATATTTGTAAGTCAAATAGATAATCATTGATGGAAGCCTGAGAAAATGTATTACGTATATTTCTAACATTTAACTACAGTTTCCTATAGCCCTTTTGGTGCCTCTTATAATATGCAAAGTAGGCAGGACCATATAACTTACCATGTTTCCCTTTTGATATGTATACTACTTTTCTCCACTTCCAAAGGAATTTACTAATCATGGCTTAGATTTTTTTATATATCTGTTGCTCATAATATCTTAATAATCATAAATGTCTAGATTTGTGAAGCCTGTTTCCGTGAAGAAAACTTATAAAGTCACTTTATTGCATTTTTACATTCTATGTTTTAATGTTACAGTTCCATATCTGTATATTTGTATATAATGTTTTTAATTAACATAATGTACAAAGACTGACTTTGATACTATGTATTTTTAAGAGTTTTCAGTGGGTGTTCTTGAGCTCAGCTTTAGTTGAATTGTAGGTCAGCACCTTGCATTTCAGAACATATTAAACTTCACTTTAAAATTGTTTTGAGGCTATAGAATATTGCTCTTTTTACAGTGCTAACTTCATACTGTTGTTTTGGGTAGAGGCCTGCTGCAAGACTGATGTAGCACAGAGACCTTTCTTGCAGTCATGCCAGAAAGATTTCAGACATGTCACTCAAGGTAACAGGCATGAATTTATTAGAAGGGATAGAAAAGAGGAAAAGGGGACACTCTTAAGGGAAAGAGTAGGTCCTCTCAGGAGAGGGATGGCATGCTGCTCTGGCTTTCCAGTTTTATTGGGAGATAATCCTAAAATTCACTTGGAGGAAGACCCAGAGAGGGCTCCCAATGAAATTTCCAGAGAGTCATGCCCACCTCTTGACTTTTAATTGACAGCAAGATGATGTCAGACTTTCAGGTTCCCACTGTTATGACAACTGTAGGTCACTTTGACCCATGCTGATTAGTCCTAATTAGAACCTGTTCTTATAGATTTTATGTTTAGAGAGAATTATCCTGATCTGGGATCTGGTCAGTATAAGGGTCACAAAAATCCTCCCCCCTTCACCCCTTTCAGGGTGACTTATATTCTTTTTTTAATAGTTGTAGATGGACAGAATGCCTTTATTTTATTTGGTATGGTGCTGAGGATCGAACCCGATGCCTTACATGTGCTAGGCAAGCACTCTGCCACTGAGCCATAACCCCAGCCCTTGTATTCTTTTTATTAGCATTTCAGACCTGCATTTCTCCTGCAGATACAGGTTATTTGCTAAGGAATGCAACATATCCTGTCAACTTAAGCCAGGCAGGGATGCAGGTAAATGCTTTTTAAAAAGAAACATGTAGCTGGGAGTGGTGGTACATGCCTGTAATTCCACTGTCTGGGGAAGCTGAAGCAGGAGGAGTGTGAGTTCAAATCCAGCTTCAGTAACTTAGTGAGGTCCTAAGCACCTTAGTGAGACGCTGTCTCTAAATAAAATATAAAAAAGGGTTGGGGATGCTGGGGTTATGGCTCAATGGTAGGGCACTTGCCTCACATGTGTGAGGCACTGGGTTTGATTCTCAGCACTGCATATAAATAAATGAATAAAATAAAGGTCCATCAACAACTAAAAAAAAATTGGGGAAAAAAAAAGGCTGGGGATGTGGCTCAGTGGTTGAGTGCCCCTGGGTTCAATCCCCAGTTCCAAAACAAACAAACAAAAAGAAACATGTGAGGGTCAGCATAGTGGGCTTTATAGAATTATTCCCTTAACCGCATGTTCCCACCACTCACATCTGGCTATATCCTATCAGTATTGAAATTCTGTATGATTGGTTTTACTTCAGAAATTCCCAAGCAGAAACAAAAATTGTTTATTAGATTAATAACATAATTTCATTTTAATTATGTAAGGAAATGCCCCACCTTTTAAGGGCTAAATATTGAAATACATAGAATGACATGATGTCTTGAATTTGCTCTGTAAAATTTCATCAAAGAAAAAAATAGATTAAGCAAATGTGGCACAAATCTTGGTAATGCTGAATCTGTGTGATGGATGTTTATAATCTTTCTAGTTTTGTTTCTGGAAATGTTTATAATTAAATTTAAAAAAATATCTAGCTCTAGACAGACAGCTGAGGCTTGCAATCTTGAGAGCCCAAGTTTCACTATACAGTTATAGCAGAGTTTAATATAGAAATACCATTTGGAAAAGACAGTGTTTTAGATTATTAACTAAGATAAAGATGACTATCAATAATATTGAAGAAGTATACACTGTTAAGAAGAGAGATTGGCATACAAAGTCAACATACAAAAGTCAATAAATAGCTTTCTGCCAGGAAAGAAATCAGGAAAACAATTCCATTCACAATGGCCTCAAAAAAAACAAAACAAAAAAACCCTAAAATACCTCAGAATAAATCTAACCAAGGAGGTGAAAAACCTCTAGGGTGAAAACTATAGAACACTAAAGAAAGAAACGGAAGAAGACCTCGGAAGTTGGAAAGACCTCCCATGTTCATGGATAGAAATGGACATACTTCCAAAAGCAATATACAGATTCATTGCAAACCCCATCAAAATACCAATGCTATTCTTCACAGATCTAGAAAAAAATAGTCCTAAAATTCACTTGGAAGAAGACCCAGAAGAGCCAAAGCAGTTGTAAGCCAAAAAAGCAATGCTGGAGGCATTACAATACCCAACTTCAAACTGTACTGCAGAGTTATAGTAACAAAAACTGGCATAAAAACAGACACACAGAGCAGTGGTGCAGAATAGAAGACCCAAAGACAAACCCACAAATCTATAATTATCTGATCCTTGACAGAGGTGCCAAAAACATACATTGGAGAAAAGATGCCTTTTTAACAAATGGTGTTGGGCTGGGGATGTGGCTCAAGCGGTAACGTGCTTGCCTGGCATGCGCAGGGTGCTGGGTTCGATCCTCAGCACCACATAAAAAAATAAATAAAGATGTTGTGTCCACCAAAAAACTAAAAAATAAATAAATAAATAATTAAAAAAAATCTCTCTCTCTCTCTCTCTCTCTCTCTCTCTCTCTCTCTCTCTCTCTCTCAAAAACCAAAAAACCAATGGTGCTGGAAAAACTGGTTATCTATATATAGAAGAATAAAATTAGACCCTTATCTCTCACCCTGTGTAAAAATCAAAATCTGTCAAAAGACCTGGAAATTAGAGCAAAAACTATGCAACTCCTAGAAGAAAACATAGGATCAACACTTCAGTACATAGGTATAGGCAATGACTTTCTCAGTAGGACCTCTAAAGCCCAAGAAATAATGTCAAGAGTTAGTAAATTGGATGGTATCAAATTAAAATCTGCACAGCAAAGGAAATAATTATGAATGTGAAGAGAAAACCTACAGAATGAAAGAAAACCTTTTCTAGCTACTCTTTTGACAAAGGATTAATATCTAGAATATATAAAGAACTCAAAAAACTTCACACCAAAAAGTCAAATAACCCAATTAATAAGTGGGCAAATGAACTAAACAGACACTTCCCAAAAGAAAAAATACAGTGGCCAACAAATACATGAAAAAATGTTCAACATCATTAGCAATTAGGGAAATGCAAATCAAAACTATACTGAGATTTCATCTCACCCAGTCAGAACAGAAGTCATTAAGAAAGCAAATAATAAATGCTAGAGAGAATGTGGAGAAAAAGGATTATTTTTACACTGTTGGGATTGTAAAATAGTACAACCACTATGGAAATCAGGGTGGAGGTTCCTCAAAGGATTAGGAATGGAGGACTGGGGTTGTAGCTCAGTGGTAGAGTGCTTGCTGAGCATGTGTAAGGTGCTGGGTTTGATCCTCAGCACCATATAAAAATAAATAAAATAAAGGTTGGGGCTGGAGTTGTGGCTCAGAGGTGGATCACTTGCTTAGCATGTGTGAGGCATTGGGTTCAATCCTCAGCACCACATAAAAATAAAAAAAGATACAGTGTTCACCTATAACTAAAAAATTAATATTAAAAAAGTATTTTATCCATCTACAACTAAAAAAATATATATTAAAAAAAGGAATGGAAACATCATATGACCCAGCTATACCACTCCTGATATTCATCCTGAAGAATTTTAAGTCAGCATACAACAGTGATTACAGGCATACCCATTTATAGCAGCATAATTCACAATAGCTAAACCATGGAACCATCCTAGGTGTCCATCAGTGTATAAATGGATAAAGAAAACGTGGTATATATACACAACGGAGTTTTATTCATCCATAAAGAAAAATGAAATTATATCATTTGCCAGAAAATGGATGGATGGAACTAGAGACCATCGTGTTAAGTGAAGTAAGTCAAATTCTGAAGGTCCAGGGTTGAATGTTTTCTCTCATATGCAGATGCTAGAGAAGAAAAAGGAAAAGAAAGGTGGGTGTGGATCTCCTAAAAAAGGGAGATCAGTAGAGGAACAAGGGGTGAGAGATGGGGGGAGTGCTGGGGCATGATATTGGCCAAATTATGTTGTTATATTATGTCCACATACAAATGTAACAACAAATTCCATCATTATACACAACTATAATGCACCAATAAAAAATGTGGGAAAAAAATAAAATCAATGTTTCAATGCTGTAAAGAGAGAAAGAGAAATTACATTTCTTCATAGGCCAAAAACTAGCAAGCTAAGAGGATTAAAAGCAAGAAATTTAGTAGTTATAGGAAGTGTTGGAAAGGTTGAAGGAAAACAGTGAAAATTTTTTCTCTGTCTTACAAAAAGTAGACTGGACTG